ATGAATAGAAAGTTTGAATGTTAGAAAGGTTCATCGGTGGTGCTATCAGGAGAAAAAAGTGATTAAAGTCCGATTCCGAATTTTGCCTCTTCTCATTCAGCCCAGCCGCATTGAGGCCGTTTTGAGTGCACCTTCACCTGAAATGTGAGCTATACGTAGGTTGCCTTTTATATTTTGAGATTTGAGAACAGAAACAAGTACCATTTTTTGAAAATCGCTTTACATCCTTTCAAAATTCTCCACATTAAGATCTATACACTTTTGAATGGGCTCGATCCAGCTTTCGAAGCAGTTTTGCCACTCTGATGTATGTAACTCTAAAACATGCGTTCATGCCTCTAAACCGGCTTCTTCAAGTGTCGAAAAACGTTGACCTCTCATTTTATTTTTTACGTACGGGATGAGAAGAAGTCACCCGGGGACTACATAGCTGATGACCTGTCAAATCGTTGTTTTGAGTGCTCGAAAATGCAGTTGTTTGAGCCGATGTGTGGGAGCTCGCATTGTCGTGGTGAAGAGTGATCCGTCTTCAGTAGTTGGTTTTCCTGATCTTTGGGAAGTCAACTGGCAAACAAATGGTGGTATACCACTCAGAATTGACTGTTCTGCTCGTCCTAGTGGTATGGTTGCGACATGTCCAGTTTTTCCAGGAAAAAAACATGAGATCAATTGCCCCGAAGTGCTTGGTGCGCGACTGCTTTTGTTGGGTTTCGCTCATCTTGAAATACCCAACCGGTCGATGCTGTTTCCTTCCGGGCTCATACGCATATATCCATGATCCACCATCTGTCTCGATGCCATAGACGTGTTTCGAAGCACCGCGATCGTATTTTTTGAGCATTTCTTTCGACCAATCGACACGAGCCCCTTTCTTGGGGGATTGACAAATTTTTCAAAAACATTTTTTTCACAGTCAAATGTTTATGCAATATTGAATGTATGCTGGTCCCACTAATGCTTAAGGTTGTCCCAATCTCACGATAGGTCACATGACGGTCTTGCAATATTAGTTTGTGCCCAGTATCAGCGGTTTCCGGAACAACAACTGATTTTGGACGACCTCCATGAAATTCTTCTTCGAGTGAACTACGACCTCGGGTGAACTCGCTGTACCATCGATAAACACTGGCCCTGGATGGAGCTTCATCACCAAATATTGAATTAAGTTCATCCATGCATTGCTGTTGAGTTAGTCCACGTCGAAAGTTGTAGAAAATAATCGCGCGGAAATGCTCACGATTCAACCCCATAACTTGGCCTAAACAAAATCTTATAACTTAGTCTAAACAACACAAATCGCGCTCAAATTTGCAACGTAACCTCAAAATAGTCAAACTTTACGATAGTGGTGTCAGTTGTTAGATTGCTACACTAGTTTTGCCAAATCTCAAAATATAAAAGGCAACCCTCGTACTTCTGTTCGTCGAAATTCGTGATTCGGCAGTATACGCTAAGGTAAGACAGAGAACACAAAGGTCGACTATAGCCTTGCCACTAACAAAAACGCATACAAGCGGTTCAGGCGTAGGTTCAGCCTCTTACTGAATTCAATTTATTTGATAAATTCGATCGAAGTACCTGCCTCTGCCTGTACAAAAGGTTCCTTGAGCTTAACAAATTCATGAACCTGAACTAAGCGGCTCTCTTACTAATTGTAGATCAATTAAGCCAATGGGCTGGAAATTCAGCTTATTCCTCTCTTTCAAGGACAAAGACAGGAAGGAACGCGGATATACATTGTCGCTTTTATGTTTTCTTCATCTGAGTTGCTTTGAACACTGACAGAAGCTTAATTGAGATTACCCTCCCTCCTATAACTACAAAAGCCGTTGACGCTTCATAATTCTCACTTAAATTCAGCTACTCATGCATTCAAAATAGCTCATAATCTTGTCAACATATTAAACCTGAAGAAAACTATGAAATTGTCTAAAACAGGTGATCCAGATTCATTCAGATCATTATTACCTTTTAAGATATTAACACCATGTAAGGAGCTGGTTCAAGATAGACTTGATTATTCTTCTCGCCTCGTTCCCAGACTTGAGGATCCTTCTCGACTAGATCCCGAAAGTCAACACCTGTCGGGGAGTTCGGAGTCCTTTTCAGAAATTGCTTCCAATTGCATGATGTCGTTGATCCTTGGACTGAACAGACGTTGATTATCGGTCCAATTCCCAAGGAAGGTGTCCAACCGGGTAATTGACAGTACACAGCTGTTACAACTACTAGTAGGATGACGGCGAAATGCATTCTGAAATGATTCTTTCTCATGATGAAAGAAGAAGCTACTTTAACACAAAAAATCACGTTTTGGACGAGAAATGCAATATTAAGGCTGGGCCCTTCCGGCACCTATGACATATACGCAAACTTTGCTTATGACACATCATTCTCTGATTCCACCAGATTTTATACCTCTCAGAAAATCCTTTATAGGCCATTTCAAACGCCTCTGGAAATTATAATGTGATTATGGAAATCTCCAGTCATCCGTAAAAGATTTTTCCTCCATAAACTTTCTGAAATCTGTGCCCGAAAATCATGCTATCGCCGCAAGAAGAACCATTATCTTTGGCGACAACACGCGGCATTCTAACGTGGCAGTATGCCCAGAATCTTCACGACAAACCCATGCTCAGCGTACGGCAGTGGCGGAAGAAGTACTACGGACGTTCCGCAAGTCAGGACACTATCGACAGACTCTCTCCTAGACGTATGTCTGCAGAAGTTGGAAGATACCAAAGCCAACGTTTTCAGTTTTTGTGAATTCAGGAGAGCAGTTTCAGCGAAATGATCAAGAAGTGATGGAATTCTGCTAGGGAATGATGCTGAGAATGCATCCAGAACAGGCAGAGTCGGTTCCATCGTAACGTTTCCTACAATAACCAATCCCCGCGGGTTGGTGTTCCGAAGGTTTTCAGCCTTAACTTAATACCATTGGTAGCCAGAAATTGCTCACCAACTTAGCAGTCTACATGGTGAAAGTCATTCTGGAGTTAAGATTCTATGACCGGAATAGGCTGAAAATTCGTTAATACTGCCTCACTTGCCGCTGCTTCCCATGTAAAGAAAATTTTGGAACTACGAGCACTACCTCTATTTCATTAACAAGTAGTTCAAGCTAGTTATAACCGAGATTAGACTATGGATTTCAAACTAATTCATGAAGGGAAAAAATTGTGGGCGTATTACAATGTCGATAAACGGGCAGAGAGAGTATTAAATGACATACAAAAACGCCAAATTTTTATGATTTTCAACAGCATATTCGTCGAGCGAATATTTTCACAAACTTTATGAAACATAACTCCAACACTTGGTGGCGGAAAATTTTCACATTCCCATACTATATAACGGTTTTTTTGCAAATTTCAAAAATTTTAAAATCTGTTGAAAGTATGGAATGTCGTATGGAATGTCGCAGCTAGAGTCCAAGCAATAAAGCTGCCGAACTGGGGCCCATTCTTCATATTTTACATCATCGCGAGACGAACTTTTCCTCGAATTCTGATTTTTTTTATTCAAATAGATCCGTCATTCATCGTGACAGTGGATCCTTTCAGGATGAAATTGGTCTTCTTCACTCTGACAGTTGCCACGGTGGTGCAATGCTTATTTCCTTGATGGAAACCTTGGTATGGAACAGGATCACCATATCCTAGGCCCTGCATAGAGCATCGTGCAATCCTTAACTTTTGAATTTAAAGCTTCTTCAGGTAATGGCTTCTGATAAGAAGCATTGAAGAATTACAAAGTAATGAAGGTGTTTCCAGATACATCGAGCTATGTATCCCTTTCCGAACAGGCTCTTCCCGTGACAACAACCTCTTCTATTCGGACATCACCTTTTCCATAATCTATTGCTATCAGCCCTGCAACAACACCTTTTTCAGAAAACCTGTACCTGACATTCCAGAAGAGCCTTTATAAGGCACGTACTGATAACATGAAAAAAAAATATTTTTGTTCTGGCACCCTTGTTGCAACGATAGGAGCTCCAACGTAGGATTTATTTTTGGCTTTCCATAATTTTCGGTAATTGAACATGTTGACTGGCATTTAAATTATGCTGATTGAAAAAGAGTAGAAGAGCTTCTGCCAGTGTTACAGGCTATTCCATTTGAGTTGTGGAATTTGTTGAAAGGGATATAAATATTCGTAATTCTTTATTAATATTTTCTATAAGAGAGTGTATGCTGCAATAAGAGGATGATGATAAAGTCTTGGGGGGTCAATCAATCCCGTCAGAGTTATCCGCCCACGCATTCGACTTCCATTCAGAAACGTAGTGGCGTAATGAATGCATATGTGGCCTGTACAATGACGGCCGATATATTATACAAGTCAATGCTTCCATCCTCTCAGACGAGTCTGGTACCAATTAAGCGAAAAGTTAATGAATTACACCATGGACAACAGGGCTGATATGTAGAAGTGGTAGTAGTAATAGTAGGAGGTGGAGGCAGGGTTGAAGAAGAATGAATACCATTTGTTGTCCAAGAAGATGCTAATTTGCAGTGAATACAAAAGAAATGGTATGTATGTAAGTGAAATTTAGTGGTGCCTACAATTGGGATCACACAATGGACAACAGGGCTAATATGTACGAGTAGTAGTAGTACTAATAGTAGCCAGGGTTGAAGAAAAATGAATACCGACTGTTGTTCATAAAAATGCTAATGCTAATTTGCTAATGCTAAAATGTGAATACATAAGAAATGGTATGTATGTAAGTGAGATCTAGTGGTGCCTAAAATTAAGAAGTACAAATGAGCACTTTTGAAATGAATTAAATTAGATATGAATTAAATTAGATATGAAATTCTAAAGCACTCGATGTTGATAAGACGCCCTGGCATGGGCTACGCTTGATTTTCTCAACTATTATCTTATTATTTTCAACTATTATTTTTTCTATTTAGTTTTCGAACCATCATGAAAGATAGCTGTATTTGTCAGTATAGATGTGGTGTCGTGGTAAGTGGTTCTGGTAATCTTCAGTCAAATAAAATATAGTCCAATATACATAAACTCGATGGGAACAACAACCAGGCGAGTAGGTCACGTGGTCGCGCAGGTGGAAATACAAACTTCCTTGAACATTTCTGACCTTGTTCACTGCGTGGCCAGTTGAGCTGAATATTTCAAGAGATTGCTATTTCTGAGTTTCATCTTTATTTGCTGTCGTAGTCTTTGCTTTGTACTTGTCAAAGCTCCTGACTCTTCTGTAAGAGTACTCTCACTTCTGTAAGTAAGCCTTCAGCAAATAATGCCTTCGTCAGCCTTAATTTTACAATACCGGTTTGGCTATGCACGCTCACGCGTGCAGTATACAGTAGCGCTCAAAAGTATTCGGCAAAATGCTTCCTCAGTTATAATTTTCAGGCGTAACTTCTTTCCTACTGGATCTAATCGAGCGAAATTTCAATGTGTGTAACATTGGTGTAGTGTGAATATTTACCATTATTAACCTGCAATCTGATCATGTCCCAGTTATCCAAAAGGGCTTGAAAGAAAAATCAACTGGAAATACGAATGGTGAACCTTCTAGGAGTTCTTTCCTTTTTGCCATGTCTTAAGTGTACGAGCACTAATGTCGAACCCAGAAGAGAGGAAAAACATACATAAGGTCGCAATAACTGCAGACGTCAAACCTGCTTTCAGCACAGTCTACAAACGCCTCCCCATTAGTATGTGGATATGGTTGTTTTGCAGTGTAGTAGTGTTGGACAGTGTAAAATATGCTTCAGCTAAACATATCAAAATTTCATGTGATTTGCTCCACTGGGAAAAAAGATACGGCAAGTTAAAGTTGGCCGAATACTTTTGAGCGCTACTGTATGTCGACGGCCACTTATCCGCGATGGAGTCAATCAGCGGAATGTTGGATAATCAGAATAAGATACTTCTCTCTAGATTCGAACGCTGAACTGCTGAGAGCATCACGCTTGACATATTTGAGCAGAGTTATTAGTGCTTGATCATACTCCGTCCACCTTAGTGCAAACCCTTCCCACAATAACCTGACCACCTTCTTTTGACTGCTCCAAACCATTTTTTCTGCATTCCGGAGAGTTTTTAAAGAGATGAATCTTTGGTCTTAACCCCGCTTTCATGTGCCAGGTCCGCACCCTTCGAGGACTTAACTCCATTTGTTCCATTTCCTCTTACCACTTTTACTCGCGTTCTAGAACGTTTCTGAACAGAGTTATGAAATGTTGATCTAAGCTCCACCTACTTTGGCGATAACCCCGCCCACTTCGAGAATTTGGCCGCATTTGTTCCATTACCTCTTGCCACTTTTGTCCCGCGCTCTCGAACGTTTCTGAACAGAGTTACACTCATTTTTGAAAAGTAGTTTTCATCTCAACGCACGCCCCGCCCACCGTGGGCGGGGCTTCGCTATATTTACGCATGCCCAGCACACATAAAGCCTTGCCCACTCTTTTATTTTTTTTCTGGCCTCGACGCCTTCGTTAAATCGAGTTATGAATGTCCGTGGAAAGAACCGCCCACTGCGAGAACGCTCCGCCCACCGCAGGTAAGCTTTCTTTATTTTAATTGTTGACCCATCCCTCACCTTTGCACATTTTTCCCTGGTGTCTGGAGTGTTATGAGACCGGATTAGAAGATTTCGCCCAAGACCCCCCCCCCAATCCGGCGCATGCCCCGCCCCTTGGGGGCGGAGCCCCGCTGGGCTCACACGTGCTCTGTTGCACTTACCCTATGCTCAACTCATTCCAAACTTGACCCGACTTCTCCAGGTGTTTCTTCAGGTTATATCGAATTTCCGTACAAACAAACAAACAAACAAACAAACAAACAGACGCGAGCGCTTTATATATAGAAATGATATTGCGGTACAATATATTACAGTATATTAATATACAATATAATATACAATATTACAGTATGTAAAATACAAAATATTGCAATACAATATATATTAGTTACTTAATTATCAGTTACAATACGGAACACATCAAGTCATATCAAGCCAGCCGCAAATACTTGGAAAATAAGGGCCTACGGACTACTTGGACTCGGTTTCTTCAAATTTGCCGAATGCGTCATTTTTCTGATCTCGTCCGGCGCACCCCCGTTTGATGTGTTCTTCGAGTGTTGTGCTCGCCTGTCCAATGGCACCCCCACCACCACAGCCGTGGGCTTCACCCGGGGTGTTTTTCTCTGCGCTCTAGCCTCTTGCCGTCAGGGACACAGAGGAAGTTCAGGTAGTCACGTAGCCAAAA